CCTCCCAAATGTATGATGCTGGACAGATTTTTCAGTGCAATGGGAAAAATACTGAGTTAAGATACCTGGTGTCCTCTGGAGTCTTCAAATTCACCGTGTCTTTTCAGCTGATATTCAAGTGTTTGTGCTCAATGCTTTTTAATTTGAAATGTCTATACTTCAGTCAAATGTGTTATGTGTTTGTTATTATTTTAATCCATTTTTCCTTTACAGTCAGGTGCAACTTCTCTGTTCTTTGCTGCACAGCAAGGCCACAATGATGTAGTGAAGTTTCTCTTTTCATTTGGAGCCTCCACTGAATTTAAGAATAAAGTAAGATGATGGATCTATTTTTACATGCTGATACATTCTGAGAGTCAAGGCTGGAGTTTTTGTATTCACGTGAAACATGACAGGGCAGAGTTAAGATGATGAAATTTCATCACATGAACATTTTTCGAGTAATATGAGTAATGCAGCACATTGTGAAATATTAACTTTGGACTACCTTTTCCTACCCAGACTTAGTGGCATGAGTTCATCAAGGTCCCTTGATAGTGGTATCAGTCTTTCCTCATAAGCCATCCTCCAATACAAGATCAAAGGGTCTTTCTGTATATACCAGGTAGGATCCTGATTTAGGTACTTATGTACTCCAATGGCATAGAACTTACATTTCATACACGTTGAGATGTCTCTGCATGCCACCATAGGGTACATAAGAGTCTAATGCCTTCAGTCCTCCCTAAATTCCCACTTTCCCGTCTGGGACAAGAAGATGAAATGCACCTCAGAGCTTTTATTTCTTTGTTCAGGCAGGTCCCTTCCCAAAATCTTCTTACAATAGCCAAAAGCACAGGTGGTAGGGCCTGGGTTCCTCACCCCTCATGGGGTCGACAGCAGCAAGATCAGCAGTCCATCACTGACAGCAGTACATCAACCCAGTCTCTCTGCCCAAGGCAGTATTAGCACCTCTGCTTTCAGCAAACAGGGGGAAAAGCAACATACTTTCATTAAATATACTTGTCCCTGAGATGCTCGATACATTTTGAAGCGTTTCCATCATCTGAAGAAGGGGACACTTGCCAGTCACTTACCCTGGGATCCCTAGTGATTTCTTTGAACAAGCAATATTCCTTTACAGTAATCAATTTCTCAAGATTTTAATTGTATTATTTGAATGATTCTCTCAATCCATACCTGCTTTCTGGAATCCCTGGAAATACAGGCTCTAAATTCTAAAGGAATTGATAGAACACCAGAAACCCAGCACCTTATGCTCCCAGGGTTAAAAATCCTGATGTTTTGTGGCCAGAGTTCACACATGTCCATAGAGTAGGATTCTGATACCCTAGGGAGCTGTGCTTGTGGTGAGCAGCTCTCTGACCACAGCAGCAATCAGTAATGAAAACATGAATGAAATTGTGGCTGTTTAACACAACATGGAGAGCAGCTGTGAAAGTTGGCAATGCAGGAGGTTGCAGTGTTAAATACAACAGCTGTATCTTAAAGTGCTGGAAAATCTCATGTGGGACAAATTTATAGGATAAGGTTGCACATTAAAATAAACGTTGCATCTCTGACTTCTATTTTCGGGTATGGGTGGGGGTTAGCAAGATTCAGAGGGGTCATCTCCCCTTGCATTCAACTGACAAGTCAGAGGCTCAGTACCTTGTTCTGTCTAGAGGGACAGTTGCAACTTCACTCAATCTTTCCATAGCTTCTGAACTAGGAGTTTGTGAAGAGGCCAAGATTTGATCCACAAGGTGAACAGCAGGCTTGAAATTGTCTGATTCTTCATTACAATATACAATCTTTTATGAAGCATGCAAAATATATTGATGTGAAACACTAAGACAGATTAAAGAGAGCAAAGGTCTAAATTATAAAATAATATTGTTGTGCTCCAAATAGCTTCCATCTCTGGACAAATTCAAGTGTGGGATCCATTGTTGCTCACCTTGAAACATTAATTCCAGCTCCTCTTTTCCTGCCTGCCTCTGCTTCTGAACCCAGACCTGACTTGGCCCATATGCCAGTCTCAAGTATCTTTCAAGCTGCTGGTTGCTCTTCCTCTCCAGTCCACAGCTTTCTGCTACGTCTGGACAAGCTGGTTGAAAAATAATAACAGCTCCCAATGGACATAGCATGGGAAACTGGCATGTGATGTGCATGTGAGATGATTTTCCAGCAGCAGCACCCAGCATGTGGCTGAGCAGGAGGCACCAGTCAGGTGTAGTGCACAGACAGTCCACATATTCCACTGGCCTGTTAGTGTGGCTTTGTTCTATCTTCTGATTTAATAATGTGGTTTTCATAGCTTGGAATAATTCCATCATTCTGTTAGCACACGACCAAGGTGACAGGCTCCTCCATCCATCCCAACCCCCAGAAACAATATAGTTGATAAAATACACCTTTTCAGGCTAGGGACAAGGTATGTGCTCACTAAGACACACATATGGGAGCAGCACCAGAAAAGATATGGCTGATTCTGTTTTTAAAGGGAAGTGCAAAATTAATAAATTTGCAAGAATATATATATTTCTATTATAAGCTACACCATGGATTTGGAATAAGCACACAAATGGAATGTATCCTAGAAAACAGAGAATTTAACTAAAGAAATGCAAAGCCCAACATCTTTTTCATGCACTTATCTGTAAATTGTGATTACTACATTTGTTACTCATATATGAGAATTCTGGAGAATTGTCTTAATACAGGCATGCAATTCTTGCTAAGCTTTGTAACATGAGAATTGATATTTGCTATGGCAGGCGAAGTAAAACTATTCCAAAATAGTGTAATAAAGTAATTAGCAATAAATGTTGGTGTACTAAAGAGAATAAATAGTACTATTGAAGGTTAATTATTATATAATTATTACATATAATATTAGTCATTCATATTATTCTGCACTGTCCCAGTCTGACATCCATAGAAATATTTAATATAGGTTGAAATTTTTTTCTTTTATTCTGATAGATGTGAGTTCTTAAAAAAACATGGTGGCACATTTTCTGAGCAGTACTGCAGGTTTAACTGCAGTATGTCAGAGGCTGTTTTTCAGCAGGCAATGATTGCAGAAGATCAGTTCTCCTCCTCTGTATCATATTTAAGAGGTGGTAAAACAACATATCATTCTAAGCTACTTTCACGTGATGATGGCAGAGGAAAGGCAAATAGGGAAGTCTGCACTAGTTAGCATGGTCTTATCCAGTGCTGCTGTTCCAAGTACTTTCCCTGCACATCAGCAGCTGCTGCTACGTGCTGGCAGTGAGGAGCACAGGCTCTGGGGAGAGCAGAAAAATGGTTTTTCAGGGAAAGAATCAGAGGTAGCTGAGAAAAGTCCAGCTCCTATCTGAGCTGGAAATATTTGCAGTGCAGGGTTTATAGAAGCTTCATTGTGTCAGGAAAACAGGATATGAGCAAGAAGTGAGCCCAAGGCAATGTGCCGTCTCCAAGAGATTGCACAGTGGCCTCCTGCCCATTGCAGAAGGGTGACAGCCCCAGGAGTGCCTCAGTGCTTGCTCACGTGTCCCAATCCCACTTGCTGCCCTGCTCAGAGTTTCCAAGAGTCTTTCCAGTACCAAAGATGCTGTTTCAGCTTTTTGCTTATCTCAGCTGAAGCCAAAAAGGAAAGAGGTAATCACATGGCTGGAAGGGATGTTAAAACTCTCTCATTTACTTTTTTTTTAATCCCTCACAACTTATGTTCTTTCCCTATGGTCTGTAAAATATCGGGGTTTTCAGCTAGAGCTTGCTGGAGTAAAGTGTAAGAAAAAAACAGATGGAAGCTCAATAGAGGCAAGAGGGAGAATGAGTTTTCTCCTACTGATCAACAGTGGACTTTTGCACTATTTGAAAATTCCTTGATTAAGTGCTGTCTTATCACATGGTCAGTGGAAAAGTTTCCTGCCCCCAGCTTCCCTTTCTCACAGAAAGATGTATATCTGATTTTTCACAGCGGTACCCCCAACCCAGAGCATGCAGAGGAATCCCAATCCGTTCTGTTGAAGGTATTCGGCTTCATGTATCAGACAGACAGTAGAGAGGTCTTAGAGCTCAATTGTCTTCCTGATCAGGGACCAGATCTTTGAGCCCAGGAATAGGTATTGGGGACCATCAATGCTCCTCTTCTAACCCTGGACTCTGATCAGATTGATCTAGGAAAACTTGGTCTCTTTGTCTGAAAGATCCAAATAGTGTATTTTGTAATTGTGTTACTCTTTCAACAAAAAATGTATCTGTCTAAAACTGCTTACTGGGTTGAACCAAACACTTGGTCAGGAACCCCTTTTTGAATTAATTAGACATGTCTTGAGGGAGCATTGCCATTCTTAAACCCCAAGCTGTTGCATTTCCCAGGGTGGGATCACAAACTGGGATTCCAAGTGTTGGGCTTCAGCTCTGGTGTGCCAACTGCAGTTAGCTTTGCAGGTCTGCCTTTTATTTGAGACCTGTCACTTGGCTCCCTACAAAAAACAAACAATCTTCTAAAAATAACAGGAGTTCGTGGAGAACACAAGAATTTTAGAAAACAAAAGCCAGACCAAAAAGCAATAAACAAACTTTTCCCATATGCAACCAACCAAGCATGTCTATTTACCCTCCATACAGGGTACTTTAATAGTTTTAAGCTTCCTAAAACTTTTCATTCCTTGTCTCTCCACAGAGGACTTTCAGTTTGGATAGCACAGTTTCTCTTCTTAATTCACTAAGCTTTCTCTCTCTCTCAACACCATTCAGGGAAAGAGTCTTTTAAAAATTCTCTCTTTTTTTGTTTTGTTTTTTGGGGGAGGGGTTGTTTGTTTGTTTGGTTTGTTTTTTGGTTTTGTTTTTTGTTTTTGTTTTTGTTTTTGTTTTTGTTTTTTTTTGTTTTGGTTTTGGTTTTTTTAGTTCTGTTTGTTGGTTTATTTTGGTTTTTTGGTTTGGTTTGGTTTGGTTTTTGGTAGCTCTTTGATCTGCTAAGTCACCATTTGAGCAAAGTGGCTTTCACCTGGTTGGGGAGAGGAAAGAGATTTCATGAAGCTATTAGCTTTTCCATTGTCTTTTAAGTGTGTATAAGGTGTTTTTTAATCCAAGGACAATTGTGATTGCTTTTGTGTTTTGTTCTAGCAGTTCCCATAAAATTACGGTAGTTTAATTTGGCAGGAAAGTCTAATTTCTCAGAAGAGAAACTTAACTCCACTGACCTGATTACACACTGTACTTACTCAAATAACCCAGAATTAACAGGCAATTCTTAGACTGTCACAAAACAGCCTCACATCTCTGGCTTTGCTTATACTCAAGCCTTCTTTTCTTTTCAATGTTGTAGGCAGGAAGGGTGAATATAAGGTTTTGGGGGTAGGTATAAATAGAGCCTGTGGGTTAGTTCAGTCATGTCAGAACTTGAGTTTTCACAAGGTTATTACAGCCATTAAATTGCACAATTGATTAATAAATTTGATTGCCACTTCTCATTATAAAAGATCCATTTGGTCATTCAAGCTGTAACTTCTTTTGTGGATATCTGTCAATGTGGAAAATTTCAGACAACTTTGGAGTTGTTTCAGAGAACAAGTCTAGGCCAAAGCAGAGTCTTGTGTCCACATTAATAACAGCTCTAGAAACCATTTACCTGAAATACTTTAGATAGCTTATCTTGCAGAGGAGAGTTTTGAGACTGGGAGAAGGCAGGGGAGGAGAAAGAAGACCTGTGGTGGACACATTTTGGGATGTGCATCATCTTTGCATGATGGCATGGTGCCGTCCCAGGCAGAGATAAGAACCTCCTCTCCATAGCTGTGTCTGAAATACTGATAATTTTTGAGTGGTGCACAGCACATTTAAGATGGCAAGACCCACATTTGCTGTCTCGATTGTTTCAGCTGGTTTGGAGTGAATCACCAGTGACACTGAGATGTTTTCCTTCCCAGGCAGCTCCCAAGGGAATGTTTCTACAAGCAGGGATTGATGCATGTGCCTAGGTCTCCCTTTAGTGGTGATGTGCAGCAACTCTAACTACCTGGGACTCATCCTACCTGCAGGGATCACTTCTCAAGCAGAAGTAATGGCCTTTTCACTGGTGGTCATGCCTTTGGTCAGACTCACACTTCCACAGTCAGCTAGCACACTTTAAAATCCTTCCTCTCTACTCAGCTCCACGCCAACAACCCACCAGGGAGAGGCAGGACAAAACAGGGCACAGGGTTCTGGCCAAAGAAGAGCAGATGATCAATAGACTCTGGAGCAGTGGAAAGCTGGGCTGTCCTTCTATCGGTGGAAGAGTTTGGCAGGCATGAGGAATTTGGCTGTAAAAGGAAGAGACACGGAGGAGCTTGGACTTGTGAAAGGAGCAAAGCTTCTAATGGCAAGGCAGAGGATGAGGAATGAAAAACAGAATTTTCTTAGTTCCTTTCCCTCCTTAAAAAAACTGAGAAGAAAAATGTATGTAGTGACTGAGCCAATTTGAAAGATTTACATGTCAACACTAGGCATTAAAGTTATGAAAGATTTGGTAGCTACTGATTACAGAAGTGCTATGAGCCAAATTCTGAAAATTCTTAAAGTTTGGCTCTTTTTTTTTCTATGGTGATGTTCAGCCCAGCACCTGACCTCTCACCTGACTGTACCCATTCTCTGCTTTTTCACAGGATGGAGGCACAGCTCTCCTGGCTGCCTGTCAGTACGGGCATGCAAAAGTAGTGGAAACTCTGCTGAAGCACGGTGCCAACATTCACGACCAACTCTATGTGAGTAATTTGACACACACAATATTGACAATGGTGGTGGTGGAACAAATGTGCTGTTGCTTGGACAACAGCAGACACCCTGGCTCCAGCACACACACGCATTTGCCAAACACTGCATTTTTGTAGTACTCTGTTCCTCTAAGATATGGATTTTGTTAACTGTCTGCTTTTTATGATGCTGAGAGAAGTAGCACAAAATCAGAAAAGATTCTTTGGCTGCCTTTTGGTTCATGATCTGCATGGAGGATATGTACCAAATCTGGAACAGACTTGAGCTACCCATTAGCCTTGGAGGAAAGAGCATGTCATGTTCTACCACCATTTGCAGAAGAATGAATAGCTCTAGAGCCTCTAAAGTACATTAGTTTTCTGCCAGAAAGAATAGTAAAAATTAAAACCTTTAAATTGCTTCAAAGCGTTTTGGTTTTTTTAATATCAGTTAAAATTATGTTGTTTGGTATTTGTGAATCTCCAGTTTGTCAGTGTTTTGGGCAAAATGAGGTTAAAATGGCTGAACTGATGTTGTTTAGTTTCAGAAAGTTGGATTGAACCAATGAAGCTCTGGATTTAATTTACTCCAACAGAGACACAGATAAGTTGAGCTTTTTGGCATTCAACAGAAATGAGTAGCAGATTTTGCCTCTGCTTTCCACCACTCTTTCCTACCCCAGGGCACTCAAGACTGACAAAGAGGAAGATGTTTCTCTGAGATATATGAGTTTTTTCAGCTGTTTCCTTTGGCTTTGGATCTGCAGGATGCTCTTGCACTCCCAGCTCCTACTGGCTTGCAGGGGAGCTGAGAGCTCACCTGGAGTTGGTGACTGCAGAAGTCATAGGGAGATCCCCACCTCAGTGTTGCCTCACCCCTCATTTTTAAAGAAGCTTGTTCCACCCTTGCTGTTGTGCAAATAGGAATTGACTTTCTGATCTGAGGCCAGTGATTCATCCCTCTGCAGGGTAATCCCAGGGGCTGCCACTCAGTTTAAAAATAGCTTTGCTGCCACACCTGCAGACTCTTACCCAGAGGTCAAGGCAGTAAAATAACTTCCTTGTTGTCTCTCCTGGAAATGAGTGATATTTGCAATTGGATTTTAAAATGTACTTTTATTGCTCACAGACATTGGACAAAGTCAGTCAGAAGCAGTTGTGTAACAAAATAAGAATACGATCTCTTGAAAAAAAGTGTTGTCTAAGTTCTTTTCGTGGGCCAAGCTGCATTTATCAAGTGGTACCTGGATGGCAGTTTCACTGGCAGCTAAATGAGAGGAATTTTGAGCATATATTTGGGTAGTCCTCCCAAAACCATCAAGATCAATGTTTTAATCTTAAATTGACTCATGTGAAGTGTCAGGAGAGCAAGAGACAAAATAATACCCTAACTAAATAGTAATTCTTGCAGAAATGCGTTATAGCCTCAAACCAGCATTTTCATTACAGCATCAATTCAAAGCAAATAGGTATCAGTGAATGCAAGGTTCTCCATCTTGATTTATCCTACAATGAAGAGCTTTTTTAATATTACACAACCTTGTTTACTTTCTAAATTGAAGTGTTCTCTGTCTCTGAAGGAAGACTGCAAAGGCTCTGGTACTGCCAGGTCTTTTCATTTACTCACACAGCAACCAGAGAAAACAGCCCATCAGAGGGCCCAGCACGGGCATTAATAGTTTCAGCAGACACCTCGTTTGTTTACAAAAGAGAGGACATTTGTCTCGAAATCAATGTCAAACATCCTAAATTCAGTCCCTGGGGCACTATATTCAGCTCATGCTTCACCGAGTCTGTGCTGAGTTTTTCACACTCTCTCTGCAGACAACAGCATTTAGTCCTAACACAGTGATATGCCAACAAGGTCAACAGCCGGCTTTCACCAAAATGCTCTGTATTTTGTGATATGCACCTGCCTGAGTTGGCATGGGAGGTGTACTTGCACATCTGAGATGCAGTAAAGGGGTTAATTCCTGTCTCTATTTAAACTAAAAGATTCTCACCTCCTGGGAAAACTTGTCCTAGCACATCCTGTGTTTAGTCCTGTGGATGTAGGATGGGTAAACACCTGTCCCACCTTCAATACAGATTTCTCTGTAGAGCTGGTTAGATGGATTATAATGCTGTTTGAAAAGGTTCCATCAAAAACACTTAATGAAATATGACTTTCAATTTTTTTTTCTATGCAAGGGGTTTCTCTGAAGTAAAATTCTGAGAACATCTGCACATGAAAGACACGTCAAAGAAAAGTAAAACCCCGTATTTGTTCACGATTTATTCATTCACAAGCTTTTTCCAGGAAAATTCTGGTTTCTGATATGGCTATGAAGTACTTTTAGATACTATATTATAGGTGAAGTCTCTTCTTCAAGATTCTTCTTCAAGATTCTTCTTCAAGTCTCTTCTTCTTCTTCTGCCAGAGCAGAAGCATGGTGGTTTCTGGGGTGGCACAGGCCTTTTTCCTTCAGCCTCAAGGGTAGACTTCAGTGCTGGGGTTTGCAATCTTGCAAAGTACCTGACAAGTTTCCACCATGTACCCATGTAGCAGAACACTTCTGCACGAACAGATAAAAGCTAAGCAAACCTGTGTTGTTGTACAGGAACCAATTTCTAGTTATGTAGCTCGATGCCTCAATGAACCAGACTCTTATTCCAGACACAGGATTTAAATGTTGGATTGATATATAATGGGAGCTAGTATTTGTGCATACTGAATGAAAATGTTGCCACAGTTTATTATGAATTAGGCTTTGCATTTTGGCAGCTATTTCTTAAGCATGGCCGTTTATCTGCTGTTACAAAGCATAACGACTAAAGACTGAGGACTTAATTCAGTTTAATTTGTTTTTGTGTGGAAAAATGGCATCACTTCAATGCAGTGTAAGACAGATGTGTTTGTTCTTAGGATGGAGCTTCTGCAATTTTCCTGGCAGCACAAGGAGGATATCTGGACGTCATCCGATTGCTGCTCTCTTCAGGAGCAAAGGTTAACCAGCCACGACAGGTATGATCAACACTTCAGGGCAGAGCTGGGTTCTAATTTTATAGCTAAGAAAATGAACACTGGAATTTTCTCCAGGCATTAGGTTCCTGTGGAGGTGTTTCATTGAAAGACAATTTGTGGCTGTGAAAACATTCTGTGTTTTACTTCAGATTGGTAACATGGTTTTGAAGGAAATACCTCAGTCATTTCTGAAGGAGCTGGAACTGAAAGCTCTGCTCTAGGTCTACACTTTACACCCTATGAGCCACCATCCCTGGAGGTTTTTAAAACATGTGTAGATGTGGCACTTGGGCACATGGTTTAATGGTGGACTTGGCAGTGCTGGGTTAACAGTTGGATTCAGAGGTCTTTTCCAGCCCAAATGATTCCATGATTCTAAAGCAGACCAAACCACTGACTGCTCCTTTAAATGGGTTTGAACCACATATGTGTTTGGGTCAAGGACCAAACTAAATCCCAAAGAAACCCCTCCAGCTGTATGGAATGTTGATGTAAGGACCTTGCACTACCTCTTGCAACTACCGATCTGTTTGTGTTGTACCACATTACTTTTGAAGGTCTACACAGCCTACAACATCCCTGAGTTCTTCCGAAAATTGTTTGAAAAGCTTTTGAAAATCTCGGAGCTCTAGGAGGAGGCAGTACTAAATTCTATTTTTTGAAATCTCCAGACCTTCAGATGTGGCTTTGGTGTCAAAGTTTATCTTTGACAAATGCTTTTATTTTTAGTTTTACTTTTGTTTGTTTGTTTTACTTTTGTTTTACTTTGTGTCATTCCCATGCACTCTGAAATTCAAGCATGAGTATTGCCTTCATCCCTGGAAGTTCTTGAGACATATGGAAAGCTTTTCTCTGCATTTCCAGCTAGTCAGTCTAGTGGTCCTGATGTTGCAAACACATACAACCAGTGGCAGCTGTAAGCATGAAATTAGTTCCTTGTGAGCAGTAGGGCTGCTGTTTGATCATTAAAGGGGAAGTGTGAGCAAGATTTGTGGATTTGTGGCTGGTTCAGAGATGCCTGCTAGGGGGTTAGGGGCTGGATCCACTGTGATGCCTTTTCTCTCATTTTCTCTGACACGGAGTTCACCTTTGACAATGTTGTTCCCTCTCCACTGTTTGTCAAAGCCAGGGTGCAGCTTTAATGTGCCTCTTCAAATGGGCCAATTGTTTGTTATAAAAATAGTGATTTTAAAATGTAATATTAATGATTTCTTTCTTCCATTGGTTGCCTGTGTTTTGTTTCCTGGAAAGTACCACCACCCTTCATAAGCAGATAGAAAAAAGTGGCAGAAAACCCCCAGTCTCAGAGTTGAAAGTTTCAGCAGCAATTCCTCTTAGTAGCTAATGGATGGTGAAAAGCTAAATTACCGTACTGGAACACCTGATCTTAATAACAATAATAATAATAATAATAATAATAATAGTATCATCAATGTAATGCCTTAAGTTTTAGCTTTCATACTTCCAGATTCTGTACTGCATTAGTATATAGCTCTGAACATTATATAAAGCATCAGCTGGATGCTGGAGTTAGGTAAGGGTGCAAGAGGCTTTCTAGGCTTTAAATTATGGGATAGGTAAGCATATATGATATGTAGAGAGACATGTATGAAAGCTCTCTTGCTTTCCAAATAAAAGTGTTTCTTAATTGTTTAGCTGTTTCTTGACTCTAAAATCAATGCCTAAACAGACAGAGATGGAGTTGCACAGCTAGCTTTACACCCAGCATGTAGAAATGTCTGGTTAGAGATGGAACTTCTCAGGAATCTCTACCTGCTTTGAGAGACCCTCGCCTGTGGTCTGCAGAAACCCTGCAGGCAAGGTATCTGTCCTGGGTCTTCACTGCACATTTGAAATTGATGGGATAAGGTCTTGTCCTTGTAATTAGTCATGCATGTCAGCCAGGTGGCTGTGATCACTGACTGCAGCAAGTGAAAAAGCAGCAGGCAAGAGCAAATGAGTGCGAAAACTCTAATAGCAGTGGACAACGTGGCGTGAGACAAGCTCTGCCAGGTATTTTCAGTATTTCCTTTCATCTGCACCAAAAGCCTGACAAATCATAGCCTGGCAACTGGACACTGATCTATATGTTTCTGCTGCATGTGAAGGTCTGCGTACACTCCTAGCTGTGGTGTAAGGAAAGAGGATTAGTATTTTAAGAGCCTTAACTGAAACAGTTTTCCTGCTGCCCCCGGCCCCACCTCTGAGGGCCAGAACTGTGCTGGCAGCTACTGCCTGGATTGATGCATTAGCTGCTCCTAGGTTGTCTCCACACTGTCTCCCTAGAAAAAGCTTAAAAAATGTTAAAAGCTGTTAAGTCTAATGTTTCAATGTAGAAGGAGAGACCAAGGTATGCATTAATGCCTTTTGAGTAAGTCAAAATAGGGCTGGGGAGCTTTAGATCTCGCTGAACCCTGTTGCCATTAAAACTGCATTCTGCTATCTGTAGTTATAATGCAGCTAATTCTTTCTGACACTATTTTTTTAGCTCTGTAATCCAATTTCTACAGCACAATGTTTCATAAGGCATTTCAAAATCTTAGTTGAGGCAAAGACTTGTCTCTGTGTGAATGTTCCTTCTGGCTCCTCTGTTTCATCTCCAGCAGGACAGACCTTCTTTGCTTGAGGGTACCTCCGATCCCTGCTAAGATTATGCCTGGATAAGTGCGTGGCATTTGTATTTGGGTCCACTGTAACCCGAAACATTTCCTTAACAAATGGAACATTTTTACTGTTTAATTAGTCAAGTAATGGTTGGATGGACTTCAGTCTCTTTCTTACTAACAAATGGATTTGTACTTTGTTAGAAGGTGGTGTGTTGGTCATGAGGAATGTAGCTATAGAAGGGGCAGTTTCGATGCCAGACAACTCTCACTCTCATTTACAAGCTACAATGCTCTCACTGTGGTAGAAAACTTTTCCAGACAACGTTACCTCAAATACGGGGCTGCAGAGTGCCAGGTGTGAATTCATCTTTTCCTTCCTCATAGTGTCCAAGTTTTCTTCTCTACCTTGGGACTGGGTGGCTTAATCCATGGACCTGCACTCATTTGTCTGCCTTCTTTGTCTCCTCATGCTGCTTTAGTGGATACCAGGTCCCTGTCAGTCTGGTCTCCCACCTCCTATCTTACAGGCGTATTTCTGGCACCACAGACATTTTGAATGGCCCTGGCTGTCCATGTGCAAGCCCTTCAGCTCAGCTCTCACAACACCAAATAGTGAAGCTTCCTGGAAAGTTTCTGCCTTGGCAATGCCATTTCTCTTGGGTTGTAATTGCTTTCTGCTCTTGCCAATGTTGAAGAGCTGGGCAGGAATTCTTTTGTCATCTTTTTGTCTAGACAGAGCTGGGGGCAATGTCTGAAGCCTCGTACAGGAGATATTTCTATGCTTCTTCAACTTACAAAACAAAGCTGTAAGATTCTTTGCCAATACTGTTTTGGCAGTCTGTGTCACAGCAGGCTTTATTCTGGCTGGCTAAGCAGATTCAAAATAATCTGAAAATTAACGATTTTTTCTTAGTATGATATGCAATTACACATACATGCAAGCCAGTAAATCTATATAGGTGCATTTCAGCAAGCAAGCAATTTGCTATTGGCAAATTAGATGCAGTAGTGCAAGTGGACAAATGGGCAGAGCAGTGGAGGAGATGACACTGAGTAGCCTGAGAACAGGCTGCCCCTTGAAATACCTACTGGAAATTTGAGGGGCCTTTCACCTCCCACCCTAATCTGGCCTTTCTAAAGCTTTAAGCCATAAGCAAAAGTTGAGATTCAAAGCTGCAAGATGAAGTCATTAGTTAATGGGTAAGAGAAAGAGCATTAATAATTTCAGTCAGAGTATATTCAGAACTTCTGGCTGCTGGATATAATAAGGTGTTGTCCATATATACTAGCTTGTAACCAAATGTGGAAAAAAAGAACACCTTACAAACATATAGGGTATTTAAAATTATTCTAGGAATGCAGTGATCTGCAGTCTGCTGGGTCCTTGGGCAGAGGGACAAGGAGAGGAGAATAGCTTTTGCACTACATCTTTCCCTGTTCTCACTTTCTTCCTGATTCCCTGGTATCTTTTTACACCTGAACTCTCATGTGATCTCTTAGTAAAATGTAATATCTGCTTTGTATCTTTCACCAACATGAAAATGGACAGAAAGATCATCTACTCCATGTAAATATCATAGATATTTTCATAAACCTAAGTGCTAGATGCTGTTTGCTTAAGTGAAAGAAGCTGACCATAGTCAATGTGAGCTCATCATTATCTGTCACTGTCTTCAGGCTAAGTCCTTCAATACAGCCACTCTTCCTCATAATGTACTTTTGTCTCTATCCTGTAGCTGAGGTGCTGAGGATAATGTCTAACAGCAATACTATTAATGACAATTAATGGTAGCAGTGATATTACCCAACATTTGCATTTCCTTTTGCTCATCTTCATTTTTATCTGAAAATAGGGGTTGTTCCTACAAACTTCACTGTGAGGAAACAAAAGCTGCTTTGTTTCCTGTGCTGAGCTTGTGCTTTCATTACTTGTGTGAATCCACAAGAGTGGATTTGCATAGCATTGCTTCTTCATGCAGATTAAATTGTATAGGCTGTTCTGAGATATTTTCTAAGTTTTACAGGCTTTTTCAATGCACCTCTTTCTATTTTCTAGAGCCCTCTGGTGGGGGGAGATTAGAAAAATATGAAGAGTCAGCTTACTGTAGGGAAAACACTAAAATTAATAAATTGGAGGGGGACAGTTTTTGACATCAAACTAACATCAAATACTCTGCATACAAGACAGCTTTTGTTATTTTTGAATCACAAAGAACACTCATATTAACAGGATATTTACCAGAGTGAGTTCAGTCACTAATTTCAATGAGTTAATTTATAGAGAAATTATACAAGGATGGGCAAAGATCATGTTCCTCATCATTTGAGAATGCTGAAGATCTCAGGGTGTGCATTTGTTCATTCTCAGAATCAGAAAAAGGGAATTATTATATCAAAGGAAGAAATAACTTCTTTTTCTGTCAAATGATTAATTCACTAGTCCATGGAAAACAGAACTGATTCAAAGCAATAGTTTTCTGGGTTGCATGAGCAAGTAATAAGAATCTTCAGTTGGCACTGGGAAGTGAGACTATTTCTTTGATCAAGATGGCAATATCTTATTTAATGTAAAATTTTTATTTCTCCTGAAACTTCTCATTAAGGCTGTTTTTGAAGTCTCAGTTTAGTTTGTCTTTCTCATTCAAGCCAAGCCTTCAGGCTGCAGAGGGTGGTGAGGGGAGCTGGAAAGCCCTAAAGGCAGAAGCAAACCCTAAAGGCCCCTGCTTTGTGGGGCCGCTCTTCTGTGCTAAAGTCCATATAGGCAAAGCCTTTTTTAAAGGCTCATGAGAATCAGTTTGGCACCACATAACTGCTGGGGTCCTCCTGCAGTCTGGAGAATCAGACGATTTAGAAAATAAAAAGAGAAAAATCACAAAACTAAATTCTACTTGCAGTGAGACATACTTCTAGTGCTCCAACTCACTTTTGCCTTTGGGAGGGAAATCCATCACAAAGTTTAGCTTACTCTGCATGTGCATTTTCTGATGTTTCGTGCTCAGATAATGATTGCATAGGACTTTTCCAAAGCAGATTGTTTCATGCTGGATTCCTTGGTAATTACCTTGTTTTAGTGGAGTTTTGAAGATGCAGATTCTGCACAGCTGCAGAATCTGCCTGTGCATGCTGAGATTTGTCTGTATCCACTGTCCCATCTAATCACCTAGAGTTCAAAGTACACAGGTTACCTTTAGCCCTTATATTTCAAACTTCCCTGTGTATTTTAGGCATGGCTGGTGCCTTAGTGGGCTTTAATTTCACAGAGCAATGCACATTTCTGGCAAGCTATGAAAGAGAAGGCAGTAAAGGGGGCTCTACTCCACAAATTGAAGCAGTTCTAACTCAATACACCAACCTACCATATGGGTTTGGACACAGCTTTGCATTTGACTCCCTGTAGGATTTGATTGGGTAATTGAAGTACATCAATTCCAGTAGGCTTGGGCAGTAAAAAAACAGAGGGCAAAGAACACTGAAGTGAAGCCATCAGCAGTCATATTTTGTTTGCAGGACGGGACAGCTCCCTTGTGGATTGCCTCGCAGATGGGTCACAGTGAAGTGGTGCGAGTGATGCTGCTCCGGGGAGCAGAGCGAGACGCTGCACGGGATGTGAGTAGCACTTCCTCCTGCACTCTGTCTGCAGCCTAATGCCTCATTTGGGAGGCTGTAAGTCTGCCTGGGTGGAGGCTTGGTGCCTCCAGAGTCCACCCTATTTGTCAGGTTGCGAAGTCCCACCACAGGTTCCCTTTTTCCCGTTGTGTCTGGGACAGCTTCCTGGAGGGACCTTCTGGAATAAGGGAATGGAAATGTCCACATAGTTGAGAGCCAAAGATGGTATATGGTGTCACTGGTTCATTTTATCCTGAAGTTTTCACCCACCAGAGGAACAATCCTCCAGGTACCCTAAAACCAGCAGCACATGCTGTGGAAATCCCCCTCAAAGGTGATGAGCAGAGAATCTTCTCAGATGCATGGGGAGAGCTGGTGTTTCCCTCCAGCTTTTCTTCCCCTCCAGCTTCCCCTGTAAGGGGAATGCAGGCAAGGCATTTATGACATTTCTCTTTTAATTTAAAGGATGGTACAACTGCTTTACTGAAGGCTGCCATTAAAGGCTACAACAATGTGATAGAAGAGTTGCTGAAATTCTCTCCCACGCTTGGCCTGCTGAAGGTTAGTAGTGAAACACAGATTTTTTAGGCAGAACACAAGAAGACAAAGGGTCTGATGAAAGATCTGGCATTTATCTACTCTAGTAGAAGATGATAGGAGTTTGAGCCAAAAAAAAAGAGTCAAGACAAAAATGAAATTATCTTTTTTAGCTTTAATGCCACTCACAAATCTTTTTAAACAAAACTGTGAATTTAATTCTTGAAATGAGGAAGCACATTATGTTGTAGATGAAATTCTGCTTTTTGTCACTTGATTTTATTTCTACTGTAAGTAGATTACTCTTGACTGTACAGTTTTAACATTATAGCCAGCCTTCTATTGCATTTAGTCAGCAAAATAGTGTCCTAAAAGATCTGTTGTGAGCATATTCTCTACTTGATTTTGTTTTCCTCTGAATTCATTAAGTGACTTGAAAAATAACAGCCATTTGGAAACTGCTTTTTAATGACTGACCTAATTTTATGTGTCCATAAATCACACATTTTGATAGCTTCTGTGCATGCAAATGACTGGCAAACTTAATATACTTTAAAATGTGGGTGGCATAAACTTAGTTATTAATTTTGAGTATGAAATATCTTCCACACATATTTGAGCTGTCAGTTTGCATCCACAAACAAAAGGCCAGCCATAAAAACCCCCACCAATCAGCTGCCTGACACTGAGGCCATTAATCATCAGAGAAGATAAAATGTACAGATGGTTTCCATTACTGCTTGTGCTTCAGTTTCACTTGTTAATGACAGATTTTGCCAGGCGGAAACAAGTGCTGTGTTCATGTCACGTCTGACCTTCTTACAAGAGTGATTATTAAAGGAAATATTGCTGTGGTAAAGTGAACTTGACTCTTATTTTTATTAAAGCATTTAAAAATCACCTCCTTCACATCCCACTAGGCTGCCAGCACCCTAAATCAGACCCTATGCCTTTAATGACCTAATCTCTTCGATGTTACTTCTTTCTTGCTTGTAGGTCTGTTCTTTGCAAGCATTTGTGTTTCACTACCTTTTGCTTTTCTTCCCATGCATGGCACAAACACCTCCATTGGCATTCCTAGAATGGGACCTCTGCTCTCCATGCAGCTGTCCTGAGTGGCAACGTGAGGACAGTGGCACTGCTTCTGGAGGCAGGAGCGGATCCATGCCTGAGGAACAAGGTAGGTCCTGGCACACCATCCTCCCAGGCATGTGTGCCGTCGAGGTGGGGGCAGCCCATGTTTCTGTGTAGAGTTCTGGGCATTGCTAATACAAAAAAATAAATCCCAACCCCCCCCCACCAAAAAAAAAAGTCTCAAATTACAGGCATCTTTCTAAAGCTGCAAGTAAACTGGCAGTCTAAAAAAAGAGAATTGTTAGTTTCTTAAATTAGCTTTGATAACAGCAATTTTTCTGTAGAAAACTTATCATGGTTTTATCCTGTGAAGTTTGATAATTTCTGTCAATATGTCTTCTTCTGACATGCTTCTGAACCATTTGCTGCTAGGTTTTGATATGAGTTTGTTAAGCTGTAAATGAATGATCTGGCACTGACTTCTGGCTTATGACTGGGTGAGGGAAAGTTTCTAAAACAAGTAATCCAGCACATATCTTGCAAATATTTTGGTCATTTAATACAAAATATGTGGATATGTGGCTGTTAATTTCTGCCTCGTTCCACTTGATGGCAGCACAGTTAATGCCACTCACACAGTAGTCTCTGTTAATAGACATTTTGGGTTTATACTGTAACCTGAAAATGTACAAGATTTTTCTGCTACTGATAATCATCTGCAGCAGCAGGATGTGCAGCAGAAGAAAGTGTGTGGCTGAAACTTCTCCTACTGAATTTTTTTTTTTTGTAAACAACATGCCACTTGGCACGACAGAGTATATTTGCAGGACAGAATTACTGATCTTCAGAAGCAGCTTCATGATAAATATTTTGTGTTACCAAAATTGCATTCAATAAATTAAAAAAACAATAACAAAGTCATGTTCTATTACCAACCTTACAGCATATTTCATAGCAATTTAAGTCAGCCCTTGGAGTTTTACAGACATTAGTACATAAGGGCCTGCCTCATCTCCCCCAGAAAATCAGCAGCTATGCTCTCCTTTAGCCCTGTGGCAGAAGCAATAGGGAGCCCAAGGACATTTAGCCTAGACAGTCAGCACAAAATAAGCTGTCACTCAAATTGCCTTCTGGGATTGTTTTGAAGACTTAAACGAGACTTGAACACTGAAAGATGGTTTCTTAAGATATCTTCAGCAGTGGTGGAGACAGCACCAGAAAAAACCCACATCATTATAATTACCTGACCAGTATGATCTTCTGTAGAGTATAATGCTTTCAACCACGATTGGGAAATACTCGTTCATCTCTGCTAACCTCAAGGGTTTTTTGTTCCAGGCAAATGAATTGCCAGCAGAACTAACGAAAAATGAACGCATCCTCCGACTCCTCCGTGCAAAGGAAAAGCAAAGGAAAAGCTAATGCAGCCCTATGACAGATGCAATTTGACAGAGATGTGCCCTGACCACAAGTAGCATGACGGTAATCCTAGATTGGAACAGTTTGCAGAACTGATCAGCCTGTCCAGTACACGCTCCCTGAACGCACCAGGCCCTTGCCACAGGGTCACCACGGGCTGGGGTCTCCGCCCGGCATCGCTGAACGCGGGACAGTGACGAGAGCAGGGCATGGCCCAGGAGCTGCCCTTGCACTGCAGCCCTGCCTGTCCTCCAGGATCCCAGCGACCCCAGCACCGACGTTTGCTCCCCATGCAACCCGGCACAGGCAAGCACCCCTGCTGCTTCAGACACGCATCCCCACACTGCCATGGCCACACACCTGTAACAGTGTGGGTAGGGAGCACTCTGCCCCTGTGCCAGAAGGATACCCGGACCATGCAGCTGTTGGATTCAGCTGGTCATGGAGCAGCCCCGTGACACCCCTGCCCTTCCTTTGCTGACAGTGACCATTTCTCTCTACCTCCAAGTGCCACTAGAGACTAGAGGTGAGATGCCACCTGAGCAATCACAACAGCAAAAGTTCTCCTGTCAGCCCAGGGCTGAGGTAACATCTTTGCTACTACATGAAGCTCCATAAAAATGATCAAGAGTATTACAAATGATGTCAAAAGCTACCAACCAAACAAGAAGCAAAGGGATGCCTTCTCCATTGCGGCATCTTGATCTGCCAATCTATCCAGCAACAGAAACACAACGGAGCAGTTGATTTTTGCAATGCCTACACAGCTTATAGGGATCCTTCCTCAGCCTTGTGTGCATTTTTGTGGGTAGAGGAGGACTGGCTGCTGAGCAAACCAACCATGCCCAAAAGAGCATTTTTCCACAGGTGCAAGTACATCAGAAACTCAGCTGTCAGGCACAACAAACTGCACAGATGCTACACAAGTGGTATTTGTATGTTCTGCACCCAGATATGTGACACTATGGTTTAGGACCCACAGCTACTATGCAAAGCACTCATTCCCCAGGTCTGTGCACAGTGAGAAGTGCACAGTGTACAGGTGTTTCAACTGCTGGTGAGAGGGTTACACATAGCCATACCTGAACAGGCCCACTAATTATTGCAGACATGGAAAGTGAAGTCTGAACAGTAGTTTTGGCTTTGTTGTGGTTAAGACACTTAGACATGCTACTAGTACCTGTGTGGGGAAGGCAGTGCAAATTGCAGGTGGTTTGTGAGAAGATATGTTTTAACCATGTTGCTCTAAGACACCCCATTAAAACCCACTCATTTCTGCAGTATAAACAGTGTATACCATGTCCTGTTAGCCATAAAAATATTAGAGATTAATTTATAGTGAATTGAGGTAAAAAGTGGTTCCGTTCATAAATCAGGCACTTCACCCACTTTCAAACCTTGGCAAATTACTGAAGAATTGCTTTAAAAGTTGAAGGCAAGGAGGATTGTAAGGATACATAATAATTCTTGCTTAAGAGATGTCTGCCTAGGATTTAGCTGAACTGCTGCATTTTGCTTTGGTGAGTTAAAAGGAAGTCTGTAGGTGAGCTAACACAAATGAATGTAGTTTGCGTATTGCAAATTAGCCATATGAATTATCAAATTATAAAGGAGGGGTTTTTTTGTGAATAATTTACGTAAGAAGTCAGTGTTCTGGTGAAGAGAACAGAACCAGGTGTACCTTTGCTTGCATGCTGGAATTCCTGTTCAATTTTTATTCTGCATTAAATAGGAAAGCTTTAAATTTTCCAACAATGTAACAAGAAAGTTTATTTGTTCAGATAATTTATGCTGCTGTATTTTTAAATTAATGTTGTGCCTAACAGAAACTTGCAGATGAACTGATACAGAACCAAAGAATTATGCAAGATTCTTAGAGGATGACTGTATCCAGGGTCTGCAAAAGACTAAAAAATACTGAGCATGCAGAAATCTCAAGAGCCTTATTGGGATCTTAAATTCCACAGCATTATAAGGGACTGCACTACAACTTCTCTAACAAACAGCACTGGAGAGGACAGGTTTATTTGGATCCTCCAGTGGGCTGGAGATGAACATATTATGGAGAACAGTAGAGGGACTCTGGGCAGCCTGCCTCAATATTGAATTTTCACCCTAAATTTTCTACAGATCAACTGTAACTACAACTGGCAACAATCACACTTTCAAGGTGAAAAGCCCTTTCCTATTTGTAAAGGAGGTGAATAATCATTAGAAGGTCTTCAGTAGCCATGCAATAAATACTCTTAATGTCAGACAGCCTGTAGTAATCACACAGTCCTCCTAAAAAGTGTGAAAGCACCCATTGTTGGTGAGGGTCTCCTATTTTTTCCTAGTAGCAGAGCATAGGAGAGAGGACAAGGCAAGCCAAGAGTGGTCCTGCAACAGCTGAAGTAAGGAAGCTGAGACAACAAACGCAGGTATCCCATATCTACAGGTGGCCCTTTCTTTCTGCCAGGTGTATTTTCTTGGGAGAGTTGTCTCCTCCCAAAAGGAGCAGTTACTCAGCAAAGAGCTTCTTCAACTCTGCCTGTCCAATGGAAGAGGCATGTCTGCTCCTCACTTAGAGTAGGACTTTCCAAGTCCTGTGTCCAGCTGCCTCTATGAATGGTCACTGCAGCTGGGGATCTCTTGAAACATGTGAAGAACACCTGGGTCCCTGTGTCCCATACAGAGCATCTGCTGATCTTCCGAGAGGATGCAGTTAACTAGGTCGGTTTTTTTTTTTTTTTTTTTGAGTGATCTTGTGCTGTAATGGGCTTTCCTTATTTCTGAACAACATTTGAAACGTGGGGCTAGCACAGGTTAAAGGGAGAGATTTGGTGATCTCCTCTTGCTAGTGCTGGCTGATACTACATGCAGGCTGGCTAGGTGGATCCGTCATGGAGAACTGGTACTGAAGTCTTTCTCTGCCTGATTCAGGCTGAAGTTGAATCTAGCTTCAGCAAAGACACTATTCAAACAAAATGAGATTTCTGGCATGGAAACCTTCTTTTTGGGAGCATTTGTTTCATCTTGGAGCCTTTGGAGAAAGGGATGGTTTCAGTTTTGGGCTCCCTGTAACCCAAAGGTGCTTAATCTGCCTGTATATGGGCTCTAATGTTGCAATACTGTTTACCACCATGCAATTAATGTTTTCACAAAGAAACCTTAATAATTATTACTATTGATGTAGCTGTTGTTATCTTACAGTGTTCAGCAAATACTGCTGTGGTTTGTTTGTTGTATTAAAACGGAAGCCCATTTTCCCTTGGTGGCTGAAGTGATTCACTAATATTGACAGTTGCTCTTCGCATAGTTCTGGTGCCTCTTGTGTAAAGTTTTCCAAGTGCTCTATTATCTTGTATTATCAAGACAGTATTACCTTTGTAAGTTCCAAAATGCATCAAGGTAAGCAAGGAAGTAAATTATTTCATTCACAGACCAGTGAAATACAGCAGCTCTTCATCAGTTCGTGTCAACAGAAAAGAGTATATTTAGAAATTTAGATTTAGAAATTATGGGGAACTAAACCAATTTCACAGATGACATAGATATAATTTAAAGATGTGAAATAGAACTGGGACAGAATAACACAACAGATTTTTTCTGAGGTGGGTTTTGGGGTTTCTTTTCCCTTTAAAGTGTCATATATATCTCCATCTTACACCCAAAAAGAATAAGCTCCCCTAGCACACTGATTTCAGGTTTGCTTCTCTGCACATTCTGAGCCAGAGGCTCAGCCTGCTGTCCCTTCTACATTTATGCAGGTGCTATTATTCTGGTGACTTCCCATCAGCTGCAAGTGAGTACAATGGACGTGAAAACATGCAAAAAGCCACACCAATCAGTCAAAGAAAAATATAGGGCATTTTTCTTTTACTTCACTAGTATCAAGCTGTTGTGTGATAGGGATGAGCACAAGGAAAAGCCTGCAGGGTCTAGAGAGAAGTGACATCCCAGCATAGACATAGTATTGGCAGAGCCTCAGAAGTTCCAAAATACACGGAGCTCTTCATTTGGATTATCACAGCAGTGCAGTGTGCAGAGACAGCTATTCAGTCATAATATAAAAGGCAATACTGTTCCACTTGACTTGCACATGCTCTTCTTCTCCTGGAACAAAACCATCTCACTATTGATTCATCCACCTTTGTTTAGCTTAGAAAAGGAAGGATTAGAGCATGAGATCAAATAGCTGCAGGTCATATTCAATGCACTTTACAATGATGATTATCTGCCTCAGAGTCAGAGTTAATTGCAAGAATAATTCACACTTCCTTTTTCAGCCAGTCTTGGTGACTATTGGAAAATCCACAAGTTAACCAAATCTGGTGTCTCAGAAATTTCAGAAATGTAGTACAGAAAATGAGGTAGCACAAACCCTAGCCCATTTGTACTTCATTTGATATGAACACTGAACAGACATAAAATACAGCCCTTGTCTGGAAACCTTGAGTCATTTGTGTTAGAATGTTAGTGTTTGCTATGAGCCTAACCAAAGGTAATACACAAGGCTCTTTTTCCCAGCAACAGGATATTGTACTTCACACCTGGGACTAAATGGAATTGTGCCTTCTCACAGCAGCTCTGCTTTTGGCCCCTGGGAATGTCATGAGAGTTCCATACTGTTCTGAATTCCACCATTTTTTTGACCTGACCTTTTATGTATTTGATAAAGGATATATAAATTGATATACCTCCATGTGAGACTAATATTCTTCAATAGGAATTCTGCTTTACTAAAATAGGTTTTTCCGTATCATTTCAACAAAATATATTACTCAGATAATCTTGTTCTGCATATTTCAGCATTTCTTTGCTTTCTTCTGTATTCTACTCCTTTCACAATACCAGAATTAGTTTCCTATTTACACAAAGACCAGTTTGTTCTATTCCACTTGATTGATTAGACTGTTATTGTTTTCAAGGTCTTCACAGATGAGATAGCATTCACAAAATAAACCAAACCTACAACAACAACAAAAAACAAAACAAAACAAAACAAAAAACCCACAACAACAACAAAAAAAACAAAACCAAAACAAAACAAAAAACTACCGCCAAAAAAATCCCCCCAAAAATGAACGGTCTGGCTTGAGAACAGGCAAATTTAATTTAGCATAACATAACAAGGTTTATTTCAAAGATCCAGACATCACTGAAAATCTCCCCTTTACATTAATATCCATTAGGTCAGATCTCTCCGAAGGG